GGTTAGTGTCGCCGCCATTGTTAATGGCTCTCCTGAACAACACGGCACTGGAGCAGTTGCCATGCTTAGACGCCATTCTCAGGCCTTCTGTTACGGCTCGTCATCAATCCTCCCATCCGCAGCATATGCACTTCCTCCGCCCAGCCAAGGTTTATCACCCAGCAATAGAACGCAGGATAGATGTCCTTTACGGTGAAGTGCGCTTTTCGCTGTTACAAATGTACCACCCAGAGACTTCTATGGATATGATTGAAGACATAACACTTAGGCAGAATATGCATATTGTACGGGCAGAAGGGAGTGAGTCTACTGGCACGGCTTAGAATCCACCCCACCCAGTGAAGGTATAATGGTCCTAACAGCTAAAAGCCCTGTTCCATTTCTCGACAGATCAAGGTATATTTGGATAAACTTTATGCAAGACAAATTTCCATCTATTTCTCCTTTGCAATTTAACTAGGGCACGAAGGTTGGATGGGTATCCGTTCGTTAAGCGCTTTTTTCACAAAGAGCATTTCTACTAGCTTAGAGGATAATTGCACAAAACAAGTTAAGACAATCACAGGGAATTGTGAAAACAACAAGATTACCCTTAACTATTACCCCCTTTTTTGATTAAAAGATTAGACAGTGTTTGCTTACATGATTAAGCAAAAGCTATAAAAGAATGGTTAAGCTTGTGAGCTATTGGTAGAAAACTTATCCATGGTGTAAGAGCACTGAGAGTTAGTCATGAAATGACAATGCCCATTTCGTAGTTCAACGGTGGCGCTTCAACCATTACAGCATCTGATATCGAACCACAAGATGGAATTGGAGGTGGTACTGACTGCGATGCTCAAATGTGTCAGAATGGCATTTGCTTTAATCATCCGTGTCTCAGTGATCGTTTAGATCAGGTCAGAACCCTTAATTGTACGTTTGTAACAAGGTATGCTCTCATTCCACTAGAGTATGTAGTAAAATGCTACTTTCCACACCGATCGTTAGTGCTGCGTCGTAGTCCAACCAGTCCAGTTCAGGTAACCGTCGCCAATGAGACGGACAACAGTGACAGCGAGAATATGCACGCAGGCAACAACACATGATGGTGGAAAAGAGTTTTTCGCGAACCCCGACTAGTACAAAGAGCATTTCACTTTGGCCATTTGATCGTCTACTGGCAACCTGTCATGGAATCGCATGAAAGACTATTAGTTTCATGGCACAACAAAAGCAACACCATAAACACAGGCTATTTTGAATGCATTAGCCTTGCCAAAAAAATTACCTTATGTTGGATGCTATGTGGAAAAAGAAGGGCGGCTTCAACTCTTGCAGATTTGTCTTTGTGTAGTAAATACAAGGTCCTGATAGTCGGGGCTACCAGTTCCTAAGCCTTAGGCAATTCAGTCTTATCTCTTTCGGGCAGGGATAAAGTGCTTATTGTAAACAAGGCCTTGTCAAAAAATCAACTGGCGCTTCCGTTGCCAGTCCCTACGATTGCAGCCCCCATGTCAGTATTGTGTAGCCAACAACCGATCGCCTTTGATGCAAAACTTCCTTTTGAAATGACGCCACGGTGGTAAAA